CCAGGACCACACCCCTAAATGCATTGAAGCAACTGCCATGTGATTGGTTGATTAGATAATTGCATTACTGAGAAATTGAACAGGTGTTCCTAATAATTCTTTAGGTGAGTGTGTATATATATATATATATATATATGAGGCAAATGGCATATTACAAACATATGGCTATCAGGCTGGTAAGGAGTTGACTCGGCATAACTGCAGCTAAGCTGAACTTCCAAAAAATACCTGTAAGCAGCATAAAGCTATGTTCACATTACCAGGCTAATGTAACTCAAATCTGATTTTTTTTATTGTCTTAATGTGACACAGATCTTCAGGGCTGTGTGGACACAGAAATCTGATCCTTTCAAATCAGATTTGAGTCACTTTCATATGTGGTTCCAGATACTCATCTGATTCATAGCCATGCAATATGAATGAGAATGGTCAAATTGGAATTAGTCTGTTTTCTTTTTGCTCATATGTATGAGCATTGGTGTCTTCATCCAGCAGCGGCAGCACAGTAAAAAATGGACGGGAAGGATGGGAAAAATGCCGATTTACTCGATATTTGGGGAAATGAATCAGTTCAAGCCAAACTGGAAGGGACTTGTTGAACTTATTAAAATCAAATGGTGATCTAAACAACTGACAAAGAAATGGTAAAAACATCCATTTTGTCAGGTTTAATACCATGAGCTGTCTCACAAATATACCATTTTTTCTTATTGGAGACACAGATGCAAAAACATATCAATGTGTGCTGTTAAGGAGGACAGATGGATTCTCAGTACAGTTAGAAACAGGTCACTTGTAATTATGAATAGGTTCAACTGTTAAGAGAGGCAAATCTGATCTGAGCAAAAACTGTAATTGAACAATGAGGCTTGTAATGTAAATGTAACCTTATAGTTTTCGGTTATGCCAAATATGAACAAACTTTCTTTTCTTTATAAACAAGCTGACAATGAGTTATGTAGGGTCTAATGATGAAAAGAGATTTAACAATGTTCTGCTTTCACTCAACAAATACAGGCCTATGTGTTGTGGCACATTACTGCTGTGATCATCATTAATATTATCTGCCATTTATGACACAATAGCTCTTCTGTTGGTTTGTACCGTCAATCACATCCTACATCAATGAGTCCTGGCAGCCCAATGCTCTGCCAGCAGTTTGTGGTTTTTCCCTCCTTGGACCATTCTCAGGAGGTACCCACCATGGCGGACCATGAGCACCCCACAAGTCTTGCCGTTTCAGAGACACTCTGATCCAGTCATCCGGCCACAGCAATTTGGCCCTTGTCAAAGTCACTCCAGTCTTTATCCCTGCCCATTTCTTCTGCATTCAACATGTCGACTATGAGTACCGAATGTGAGCTTACTGTCTTATAGGGGTGGGTGATCTTGCTAAAAAAATCTTTATAACATACAATCACAATCCACGATCTGAATTCATATCTTTCTTTCCAATTTTGAAATGTGCTGTCAAGAATATTCAGACTGGAACAAGCCTAAGGACTAACCTCTTAGCACCATTTAAAACACAATATTACATTAAAAGACACTGCTTTCAAAATGGTAATTAAATCCTGAGTTAAACTTTATTTTAAATATTGAACAAAGTTGTGTCAGATGCTTCCATTTACAGTCTTTATATAGATCTGTCGTATTACCTCTGGATGTGCCAACCGTGGCCTGACAAAGTTTACAAAGTTTTCGCTTTGTGTAATATCTGACTGTGCATGCCCCGATTTGTTCCTTGCCTGACGGTGCCTGATATGTACTACTTCACTTCACAACATTTTCACAACACATTCTATTAATATTTCTTTTCACTATATCAGGTTCATTTTATGGATTCCTCGTGAGTGATCTCCACCAGCCCAGAATAGGTTATTAAGCCAGATATTCTGCTTTTAGATACTTTGCGTTCTCTGTCTGTTTAATGAAAATTCTGCATAGGACCTGCACTTATGTCTCAGTTTGTGTTTATAGGACTCAATAGGTACCCCAGTCATGGTTGGGTAACCGTTTATATTCCTGTAGTTCAGAGGGGACCAAAGCTATTGGAAAATAAACTACTATTTCAGATATGGGATATTTAGGTAATAATGTTGATCAAAAGACTACAAACTTCGGCAGTGAACACTTAAATATACAAGCAAAGAAACAGATTTTTTTTAGTCAGTGGATTCAATAAAGTGACCACTGTAGTTTGCTGTAAATATAAACTATGTAGTTTGCTGTAAAATGGTAGGATGAACAGATCGGGCAGTGCCAGAAAATATAATGCTGTGCACGTATGCTTGGAATTGTTGTACATGCACAAACGTGCGAGGTACAAATCGAGCAGATGGTACGAATCGGGTAGTTGCATGTCGGATCACAAGCCAAAACAGAATGACTTCCTACTAGACGCTGTGTTGACTGGCCAAATTATATCATGTGTCTCTGTCACAGGTTCTCTTTCAGACATGAAAATTCAAAGTGAGCTACTGGCATGGCAGATAATGTGGTATGGATTGGGTAGTGATGCGTTACTACTGGTAATCAAAGTATTATATGAAGTTTGGAAATATTAGTAGGAGAACATAAAAGATCACAGTTTTTACAATTCGCATGAAAAGCAGATTGTGGACGTCTTCAAGATCAATCACAATATAAAATCATCATATTGCTCACCCCAGCTATGTAATACATCCCAGACTTCAAAGACACCATTTTCACCACAGTCAACAAAATTCACTTCAAGTGGGGCATAGTCATAATGTTCTGGCACATCAGTGTGTATGCAACATAGGCACGCATACCTTGATGGGGCCATTATTGCGCTCAGGAGCAGGCTGGGATTTAATAAAGCGCTTCAGGTATCCAGCAAAATAATCCTCCAGGAAGCGCTCGAGTGCCTTTCCATCACGACTGAACACAGACACAAACATGGGCATAAACACGAGCACTGCATCGAAGAAACAGACGTGATAAAATCTGTAAAGTCAACATAATATTGAGGTACACAGGGAAAATCATCTACAATCACATTTATTCATTTGTTACTATGTTTAAAATATTATAGCCAATACAGAAACATACTGCACACTAGTCTCCTCAATACTCACGTGAACTCCTCACGCATGGTATACTTATGTCCCTCCCGTGTCCTGATGGTGACAACAGGCGGCCCCCCACTGTCTGACAGGCCCAGGCCAAACTCCTGCTCTAGCTCTTTCCAGAACTCTCTCCTGTCGGCCACTGCAAAGCTAAGGCTCCGAGACTGGAACTGAGATGCCACTTTCAGCACTCTAACAGAGGCAGAGCATAAACGAGAGCTTCAGCATCAGCAAGGAGAGAAAGAACAGCTTAGCATCAATATATTGTCTATCTGCTGAAATTTTAAGAGGCAGCAGGAAATACTATATCCTTTTTGTCCAGATACAAAAGCCCTTTGACTTACTAGTACATACAAGGTGTACCATGTCTTATGCCGTGCATATTTTAAATATAAGATTCAAACAACTGCAAACCCTTATGGATGAGTGGCTATTGAAAACAAATGTATCGACAATAAATATAGCAAATGAAGACAGTTCAGTTGAATGGTGGCTGTGTAACTGCAACCCCCAAATTTGAGCTTTTATATAATTCAATTCAATTTACTTTTGTACAGCGACATAGTGCCTTTCATAACAGTTACCCCAAGGTGCTTTACATGGGTGAGTTATAAAATCACTGAGAACAATTCAATATTTTATATTATTATTTAACATTATTATTTTATATTATTCATATTATATAATAAATAAATGCTCCATAATGAAAATAATTAAATTTCTTATTTTCAATATGACTGGATTCCCATTACATACACTTCAGATTTTGAGATTCTGTGTACCTGGCATAATGACATGTGCACTCTTAAGACAGCACTTGATAAACACTGCCCGGCCAAAAAAAAGTCGCTGTTTGAATTTATATCAGCAAATAATTAAAAGCCAATGACTGGATCATTATTACAGCTCAGCAACGTTATGCAGCAATAAAGTAAAGTCAGCTGGGTACCTGAATCTACTGAATGGCCAGGTTACACCTCCATCCAATATCAATGGATTTTTTTCTTCCCTGTTTGCATGGGCATATTCCAGGACAAGAATGCCAAGATTTTATGGGTTCGAACTGTCAAAGTGAGGTTCAGGGAGCATGAGGAATCATTTTCACGCATGACTTGGTCACCACAGAATTGTGACCTTGACCTCATTGAAGGTCTTTGGGATGTGATAAAGGAGGCTTTATGGAGTGGTTAAACTCACTTGTCAATACAGGATCTCGGTGAGAAATGAATGCAAATCTGGATGAAAATAAAGGGTGAGATGTTGCATAAGCCTGTAGAGACAATGTCATGACAAATGTGTGCCATAATCAAAGCTAAAGGCGTCCAACGAAAAATTCAAAAGGCGACTCTTTTTTTTGGCCGGGCAGTCATATCTGGTGTACATGGTGTAGCTCAATCTAGAAATATAATCTGTCTACTACCCAATGAAAATAGTATGCAAGAATGTCCATGTAAGCAGGTCTCTCTCTCTCTCTCTCTCTCTCACACACACACACACACACACACACACACACACACACAGGGTGCTCACCTGTTCCTCCAGTACTTGGATCCCTTAGGATCCCGCACATAATCCAGATCATAGAAAGCGGTCAGCAAGTCTCGCCCCTTCAGTTTATCTCTGTTATCCTGGGTCACATGAGGGCAAATTCCAAAGCTGCAGGCAGAAGGGGGAAAATTGTACTAATGTCTGTAGAAATCTAAAGCGCTCAGGCATGAGATGGAGACAGACATGCCCACCCTTCACTGAAGTATGAATGGATGGATAGAAAACAGAAAAAGGTAAACCATATCGCAAAAGAATAGCAGAGAAACATAGACACACGCACCCAGTCACTCACACACACGCACTCACATGTTGTCCTTGATGAACTTGCGTAGTCCAGAGATATTAATAGGACCATCATACTTTTCTATGCTTGTCTCAAATGTGCTGTGGAGCCGTGGTGGTCGGAAGAGCAGAACAGTCCTGCAAGACAGAAGCCAAGAATTAGGGAAGGCTGAGCGACAAGAAGAAGCCAGAGAAGGGAAAGCTGAGTGACAACGCTCTGGGAAGGAGTCCCCATTCGCTCCATTATCCAGCTTCCTTTTAGCTAGTAATAACAGTTGATACTTTTTATTGATCCCCTTGGGAAAATTCTCTTTACTCCTCCCCCAACTTGCTCTCTGTAGGTAAGAGCAAGCTGGCTGTGAAGGGCAGCCACATATAGCAGCGCCCAGGGAGCTGGGAATTAAGGGCCTTGCTGAAGGACCTGCAGACATGCTGAGGCTGGGCTCGAACTGGCGATCTTCTGAGCACAGGCACAGAGACGTAGCCCACTGAGCAACATGCCAATAATAGTATTGCTTAGTATTGCAATACTATGACCTAAAAGCATTGTGGTACAAAGCATGAACACGGCATCACATTTCTAATTAAAAGTACAGCATTACACTTCTATTTAGCATGGTTTACACAAGGTTTCCATGAATTTGTAATAGTAGCTGCAGAACTTCATAATGATAGCATAATGAAAGCAGAGCTGCAATATCAGGACAGATGCAGCTGAAGCACTCCAGGGATTTCAAGCAGCAACTTTCTTAAGCCCAGTGTTCCAGCGCCCCCTGCCCCAGACGCACAGGCTGGCCCTCAATGCCCCCTCACTCTGTGTGCAGGTCGTGCATGACGCCCAACTCAGCCTTCGTTGTGTGGGCAAAGCGGTAGCTCTCCCTCAGGGTGGCGGCAGCCTTCAGGAATTCCGCTAGCTGTGTAGAGCCGTGCCCAGGAAAGAAGCCTATTGGGGAGGCAGAAAGGTGATTTGCCTTATTACACTGCTGTCACTATGTCAGCGGTACAGGTAAACGTACAAAAAAAAAAAAAACAATTCTAACATGCCCATCTCTCATTCATTTCAGTGAATAGAAATTATTCAAAGTTTGGGAACATTTCAACTTGATTAAAAGAAAAAATTGTACAATGCAAAACTGAACATGCACTATGGGAGTTCTCAAGTTGAAATGCTGCCTGACGTCGTTATCTACCATTCAGCTCTTCCTTTCACTTCATTCAAGTGAGTTATCAGGTTAAAACACGGCTGAACACAGTCCCTCCATAAACCACGAAACTTGACTGCTAGCAGGCTTGCGCCAACAGCTTACTGTGACAACTATAAACAAGGACAGTGTATATTGCCTTTTTCTCTATATATTTTGAAATGTGATTTTTATGCATTCTGGACTTGTAGATGACAAACATTGGAGATGAGCGGCAGACTTTGGTCTGAGTTATATTTTATGTGCACAGTTTATTATTACTTTCAATATATAAAAGTTATAGGTTGCAGCTGCCCTGATTTTACCCTGACCGTAGCCAATTTTCTCTATTCGGAAACTTAACAAATGTAAACTGTTGTCAGTAAACCAGAGTCTCATAGACATAGGAGGGTGCCTCAACCATGTTTACCTGAGCAGGCAAAGATTTTTACTTGCAGCATTTTGAAAATGTCAAATAAACAAATTGAGAAAGGTGTCAGTTGAAGAACTGGTGAGTGTAAAGCAATGTAAAGGACATTAATAAAGTGTGGAGAACACGACGGAGACCAATGACTCTCTGTGTGCGGTACCTCCCATGATGTTATGCGCCCTGTGTAGGACTGTTCATCACTTTTGTATTTGTGTTCTCCCTGATATTAATCATCAGAGTCATAATTACCCAAAACAAGCAGACTGGTGACATAGAATATATGGTATAATATATTAGGTGTTAGATATCAGGCAGATAAAAGGGCAGAAATAAGAAGAGATGAGAGAACAGCGGGTGACATCTCATGTGGAACTGGTAAAGCACTTCAAGTTGACATACTGTGCCTCATCATCACTGCCTCTTAACTAGACAACAATCTAAAAAAATGGTAAATTCTAAAATCAGCTTTTAGTTAGTGTCAGCTGTGATGATGTTCTGGCACCAAGTTGGTGGAATGAACTCCCCCTAGAAGTCCGAACAGCTGAGTCACTGAGTGTCTTCAAAAGATGACTTAAAACACACCTTTTCCAGAAATACCTGAATTAGCACTTCTGCCATTCCTTAACAAAAAAATAAATAAATAAATAAAAATGCACTTTTCCAACAGAGTATTAGATCGATGGTATTCATAGCTTTGGTTTTATTGAGCTAGTATTGGGAAAAAATCATTGTAGAGTCTTATGTAAGTCGCTCTGGCTAAGGGCGTCTGCCAAATGCTGTAAATGTAAATGTAAAATGAATGACCTCCTGGCTTCAGGTGTTAGAACAATATAAATGAACACTTACCCACTATGCTGGCATCAAAGTTATCAATGAAGGCATCCAGGTCAGCCTTGCTATGTAGGCTCACAGAGCTGGGTCCAACCTGCTTCTGCATATATTGCACGATGCCCTCTGCATGTGTAAACACTGGTCACACAACGATAATAGCAGCATACACACGCAATGCCACATTCACTTATGACAAAGGCCCACAGAAAGCCAATCACCTGCCGTGTGTGGTCCATTGTAGATAGCAGCTTCCTTCCCATTTCGGAATATTTTGAGAGTGGGGTACCCATTCACTCCAAAGCGTCCACACATTCCTGAGTTTGCTGAGCAATCCACCTGGTCAGAAATGGAAATATGTGGCATTATTGAGAAACACCACATCTCACTATCCATGCTGTGAACTAGGTACCATGTTTGCAGTACTTGTTTCCTTTATCCTGCTGTTTGTGAGCGCAACCACTGTGACTGATAGAATTTTCTGTCAATTGCGATTCTTCAGCTGTCATATGGTGAGTTTAGGGTTATGTTGTTTAATAGCCATCTTCATTGTCTGATTTGTGTGGTTAGGAAAGCTGGAGGCAGTCAATCAGAGGAAGAGTTTTTTTTGGCTGTGCTGTAATTGTGTTTCCAGGTGGGTGAGTAGTAGTGTTCTTGGCTATAATGAATTAATTTTCCTCCTTTTTCCTTGTATGATTCTGTGTTTTTTTTTTTTTGCTTATACTGTACAATAGTTTGTCAGTACACTTATCTATGAGATGAGCTTATAGATTTTCTCCTTTTTCCCTTTCATTCACACAAATTAACCTGGTCCTTAGACTGTAACGGTGCTACAAGTCTGATTTGATAATATAACAAGAAATGTAATGATTTGAAAAATACCTAAACTACTTCTAGAAGTATCTTTTCTACATGGAAATCCTGTAAAGCACAGGAGAAATTATTTTTAAGTGATCTAGAAAGACATTTTATAGGCATGGTTTATCATAAATACATAGGCTTACAGCACTTAGGCGGACGTTTTTTGCTGCCTTGCCAGAATTTGATACCATACCAGAAATTTTCAGTTATAGGTGATACACACAGTGATACAGCACAGTGATACAGCATGTTGCTGCACCCACCCCATGACAATCCACCTCAGGGATGAGAACGCAATTGTAGCTCTGCAGTGGGTGATACCGCAAAACCACACTAGTGTGAATGGAGGTATACCAGTCATTTTTGTCTACTTTGTCAAAATATCCTACCCATAGATTTGAAATTATATTTGTATAAGGATTTATATTATCAAAATAAAACTTTCCGATACTTTAAATGGGGGTACCAAGTTCTTACATGTAGTTTTATGCTGCCAGAAACTGCTACCCGTAGTTTTCAGTGGGGTAACAGTTTTTTTTATAAGGAAGTTCAATGTGAGGGTAAGAATGTAATGTAAAACCATCCATCCATCCATCGTACAACCCGCTTATCCTACTGGGTCCGGAGCCTATCCCAGAAGCAATGGGCACAAGGCAGGGAACAACCCTGGATGGGGGGCCAGCCCATCACAGGGCACACTCACACACCATTCACTCACACATGCACACCTAAGGGCAATGTAGCAACGCCAATTAGCCGCAGCATGTCTTTGGACTGTGGGAGGAAACCGGAGTACCCAGAGGAAACCCCACGACGACACAGGGAGAACATGCAAACTCCACACACATGTGACCCAGGCAAAGACTCAAACCCAGGTCCCAAAGGTGCGAGGCAACAGTGCTAACCACCATGCCACCCTGCAATGTAAAACTGTCCTCTTACTGTAATTGGCAAAGTAGTTATATAATTAACTTCTTAAGCTCGGGGTATTTCTGCTGAATTTTACATTCAGTTTCAAGACTTACTGTACAAAATATACAAGGATTAACTTCACAATAGTGATGATGTATCAAAAAGAGACACTGAACTTACTAAATTAATTATTTGGCCAAAATAATATGCATATATTTGGAAAAAAGTGATTTAAAAAAATGCCTATTTTTTTCTCCTGAAAATCAAGCTTAATATCATATCAGTAGCATAAATATGTAGCTGAATGGCTTTAAATGAGTCATTACAGACCATTACTTTCTGTAAAGAACAAGTAAAAATGCATTGTCAGAATATGCTTACATTCATTTTATGTTAGTGGCATTTAGTAATGATTAGGAAAGTTATTGCTTTCTTTAAAACAAAATATACTGTATATATCAGGTAATAAAAAGTGAAGACGGAGACCTCCCAAAACACAATGTAGGTCTAATGCTTTTGTATCAAACAAGTTCAGTTCCAGGTAAAACAGAAACAGTTTAGAAACAGTTTAGTTGTTATTTAAATTAAATATTACTTCAATTAAAGCAAAGATCACAATATAAAACAATCTCAACAAGAAAAACAAATACACATGTATCATCAAGTTTAATGGTAAAACCTGGTCCCATATTTAAAGAATTCAGAATCCGTAAAATTAGAATAACAATAACATAATAATAATCACAGCAATCTGGTTTTACACCCAAGTCATCTACCATTGACTGCATCCTGGCACTAAGGGTTCTCATCGAGTACAAATGCAAATATTGGCAAAGTCTCTTTGCAGCCTTTGTTGATATTTTTAAAATGTTCGACTTAGTTGATCAAGCTGCCCTGTGGGACATCCTGACACTTTGAGGGATCATGGGTATCATGACTGGATTGTACATTGGTACTGTGAGTCTTGTGCAGAATGGAGGGAGAACCTCTGCATTCTTCCCAGTTGATTCTGTGATTCATCAGAGGTGTGTTCTTGCTCCTACTCTGTTCAATGCTTGCATGGACTGTGTGCTGAGCAGGGTCGTGGGGTTCAGCGGCAGTGGGGCATCTGTTGGTGAGGAAAGATTCACTGATCTTAACTTTGCCAATGATGCTGTAATTTTCGCAGAATCAATGGAGGCTCCGATCGGGGCTCACTAGAAAAGGAGCGAGGAGTCTAAGTCTGGGCTTTGTGAGTGTCCTGGATAAAACCCAAGATCCAGGATTTTAATGACCCCTTGGGCACAGCCATCAGCAGTGCATCTTTCTGCAGGGATAATATTGACCATGTTGAAATGTTCACTTACCTCAGCAGCAATATTCATGTCTCTGGTGATTCTTCCTATTAGGTCAGTAGACGGACTGGGAGAGCATTGGGGGGGGGGGGTCATGAGGTCACTGGAAAAGGAATGTGTGGTGCTCCCAACATTTTTGTAAGAGGACAAGAGTCCAAGTCTTTAGAGTCCTCATGCTCCCTGTTTTGCTGTATGGCTGCGAGACATGGATGATATCCAGTGACCTGAGATGAAGACTGGACTCCTTTAGTACCGTGTCTCTTCGGAGAACCACTGGTTTGACTGGTGATCAAGCAGTTGCTCACGGGGTTCTGAATGAGGCACATTACCTGCATTGTGACGGAGCATCAGTTACAGCATTATGACACTACAGCCATGAGGCTCGTTTCCCTGAGAGTCATCCAGCTCGCAGGATCGTTATTGCTGAGGATCTGAGTAGCTGGACCAGGCCAAGGGGACGCCCATGTAGATGTCCATTTCCAGGGGGTGCGACTCGACTGCATGTCAGCCTGGGGGAGGTCACCAACCAGGATTCCAAGGTGTTTCATCGTGTAGTGGGTGTAACAACGGGCTGTACTAATGCATGCTCCCCAACCTGACCTGACCTTGCTTCGTTTAATGCACATGATAAACACAAATATCAACAAACTATGAATAATGCCTGAGATAATCCACGTTAACAATCAAGGGTAGCTAAAAGCTTTCAGATCTTGTAGACATACACTCACCTAAAGGATTATTAGGAACACCTGTTGAATTTCTCATTAATGCAATTATATAATCAACCAATCACATGGCAGTTGCTTCAATGCATTTAGGGGTGTGGTCCTGGTCAAGACAATCTCCTGAACTCCAAACTGAATGTCAGAATGG